AATGAATTTTTTATCTTAGATAATTATTTAGATAAAATGCAACTATTTATCTAGATAAGATAAAATATAACAAAATAATTATCAAGATAAGTCTCAACACTGCCCACAATTTACGAAATATTAGAAAATAGTAAATACTGAACAATAATACCTATACAATGATGTACCGAAATTGCCTACACACCGTGCCGACCAACAGAGTTATTAATAATAATATAATATATTATTATAGTGTATTATTAAAATGTAATATTATATATATATATATACTATGTCGTATAATAATACGTGTCCATGTGGAGCTAGGTACTCCTAGGGAAGTAGGGAATACCTTATTATAATAAAATTAAGAGCGTATGATTTATCAGTCAACCTATAGTCTGAAAGGATGTACGTCAATAATTCACCGTGCGTTAATTCACCGCACATATTATATATTTATTCAACATTTTCCTCCCCATTTTAACACAGGCTTAGGACTGTCTACACATTTATTTTTGATGTAGGTATGGTTAAAATATTTTTGTCTTTTTTAAAAATAAAAGTTGGTMATTGTTAATAGGTACTGAAGTTAAAATAATTAATCAGAAAAATTCTATACATTTATAATATTATATTTGCAATTGAAAATTGTGTGTTATTCCTTGTAAATATTCATCAGTCGTTCTATTTTTAAAATCAATGCATATATTTTTCAAACGCTGTGCTTTGTCTAAGTATTTTTTATTTTACTGGTGGACATTCACCAGCTATATATTGTTCAAGTTTTACTTTATTTATATTTTCTTCTTTCTTCAACGCATTTATGAATTCCCAAATACTTGGATGACATTGATTTAAAAATGAAGTAAAACAATTATGCCATCCTTCTATAGCATTGTTAGTTCTAGGTAAATCTTCTGAAACCAATGAATAACAATTCCAAATTTAAATGTTAAATTTAGGTGCCCTTYTTTTTTGTCGTCTGTCCAAGTCTCTTCAAAATATATTATATTCATAATATTGAGTATAGGTGATAATAATTCGTCATGTTCAGTGAAATATGCAGTGTCCAACAGTGCATTATAACTTATAAGCATTAATTACTTTATTTTCTGGTACGTAAGCTAAACRCCTAAACTTGGTAACTTTCATACTTGTAGTATCGTCCCTATATGGCTATATCTCGTTTGAAGACCCGCATCCTGAATTTGTCGACATATACACTGTGAAAAATGAAAATAGCATCCTTTTACTTCTGTTTCTGGAAATTCGTAATTTATTGTATTCATCGCAACTTTTTCGAAGTAAACCATTATGGTTTTAGGACTTAATCCAATAGTAATAGTTTTTAATGCTTGGAACATACGTCTATAAGTTTTCTTTTTTTTATCGGGTAATAAGATGTAAGGTGATGGTAWAAAATTTGAATATTGTACTGCATGAATAGTATAAACTTGATAAAATAAAGATGGAGCACTTGAAAATGTGCCATCACAAAACCAATTGTCACATTGTGTCATGTTTTAATAAATTTGTTGTTGAAAAAATTAAAATTCTKTTGCTATTATTACCACTATCATATTGTAAAAAAAAATTACCATCTATTCTGTGGTTTTTTTAATTTCGTCAGGTATGATAAAATTAAAATCAGTTGGATCGCTTGGTAATTGAAGTTGATTTTTACGTACACGTTATATTGTACGCTTGAGTCTATGAAATATGAATATTAGGTAACTGAGCCGCACAATCATTAGAGATTTGAGATAATGCTGTAGCTACTACAGAATGAGAACTTGCTACAATAGTATTAATAGCTATGTTTTTTAGTATATTTAGTGTTTTTTAACAATAGCGTCTGTTGAATTCGGAACGTGGTTATGGTCGGTATTTTTAATATTTTACCGTTACTTAAATGAACGCGTCCTCGACACTTGATTTTTAAATATTGGTTACATTTCCATATTGACTTTACATTACCTACTTCAGCAACTTCTTACTCTTTTACGAAAATATAACCATTGAACGAAAGCATATATTTTCCTCTCTCAGTCTTTAAAATCTCAAAAGCCATTATTAAGGAGAGA